AGTTCTAAAAAAAACAAAAAAAGCATAAAACGATTTTTTTCTTCTACTGAATCGATGAATAAAAAAAAAAAAAAATCACAAGAAAAAAGTAAAGATCAAGAAGAATTATCTTCTAGTTCAGATACAGAACAAGTATCAGATACAGAACAAGTATCAAATACAAAACAAATATCAGATACAGAACAAGTATCAGATACAGAACAAGTATCTACCAAAAGATCTCATATTCGTAAAAACCCAAATCAAAATTGGTTTAAGATATATCCATGGTTAAAAAAAGAAGTAGTTGAAAATAAAGTTGTATTATTTTGCACAATATGTAGAGAAAGAAATGGAAAGACAGTATTCGCAGTAGGTACAACAAAATATCGGTTAGAAAGTATTAAAAATCACATAAAAACAATTGAGCACAAAGAATCTGAAGATCTTTCCAAACCGCAACAAACAAAAATTATTACTAATTTTGCAAAGCAATTGGATATCGATAAATTAAATATTATATCGCTTATGAGAAATGTTTATTTTTGTGCTAAAAATCATCAATCTATCAATTTGTTTCCTAATTTATGTGAATTAGTTACAACTCAAATTCATAATCATAAAGAATATATTACTTCAGATAGAGTATGTGTTTTTAAAACACCACAATATGAAAAAAATAAAACAAAAGCATCATATGGTAGTTATACGAATAACAATTCAGGAAACAGATTTTTAGCTAGTATTTGTGATATTATTGAAGAAGGTTTATTTGAAGAATTAAATGCTTCTAAATTCTGGAGTTTGATGATTGATGAATCTAATACTATTTCAGATGACAAATATTTAGCAATTGTAGCTAAATATTTATTAAATAATATTCCATATATATGTTATTTTGGAATGCTTAATTTAGAAGAAACTAATGCCCTTTATATTTTTACTTAATTAAAATCATTTTTTGAATCAAAAAATTTAAATTTTAATTCTTTAATTCATTTTGGTTCGGATGGCGCATCTACTATGTTAGGTAATTTATTAGAGATATGCCTTGTGCAAGATTCTGATACGTATCATTCTTGTACAAATTAATTATATGATTTCTTTGTATAAGATCATCATGTATTTTATACTGCAAAATATTTACTATCTTTGTTGTGCAAAAGACATCTCTATATTTTATATATATTTTTTAAAAAATATTAAAGTTTAAAATTTAATTAATCGATTATTATTAATTTTATAGGACATCAAAGTGGAGTATTAGCTAGATTAAAAAATTTGAATCCATTTATATCATCAAACTATTGTATAACACATCGTTTACATTTAGCTGGCAAAGATGCATCCTTAAAAGTTGAATATTTTAAAGAGTATGAAAAAATTTTACACAAAATTTATTCATATTTTAGTCGATCTTATAAATGGCAAAAAATGCTACATCTTATGCAGGTATATATTTATTGGTAATAATATTATGTATAGTAAACTTTATTTGTAATAAACTTTAAACTTTGAATAAAAATAGTTAAATAGGATATAAATGACAAACCAAATCTAGAATTACAAAATCATATTGAAACTAGATGGCTCTCGTTATCGAATGTTGTAGGAAATCTTTATCAAATTATTGATTCAATTTTATCAACATTAAATGAGGATTCATTAGAAGGAGAAAAGGAAGCTAAAAATTTAATTTTATTATTAGATGAGGATTTTGTTATCGTTACTATATTCTTGGCGGATTTGACAACAATATTAAAAAGATTAATCAATGTTTTTCAGTCTGATTATGTTGCACTTTCGCACCTTAAACCTCATTTAAAAACAGCAATTAGCTCTATTTCTGAAAGTTTTATTGGAAGTACTGATATACAACCTACATATGGTATTATTTTACGTAATTATATAGACTGTAACAGTATTAATCAAAAGACACTTCCTGTTTTTATTGAAGATTATACAAAGGCAATCATTGAAGCATTACAAGACCGATTTTCACATTCTGATTTATATAATGCTTTAAGTATATTCGATGTTAAATTGTTTCCTAAAACAGAAAAACAAATAGCAACTTACAGGCAAAAAGAAATTGAATTTTTAGGCAACTATTATGGAGATAGCAGAGTAGCTAATTATAATATTTTTACAGGAATTATTGACAAAGAAAAATTATTAGAAGAATAGAACTCAGCAAAATTTTATTTAGAATCTTATTCCGAAAGAGATTATAATTTTACAGAAATATGGAAACATATTTTTGACGTAGATAATAATTTTATTAATAACTATCCTAATATTTCTTTACTAGTAGAAATTGCACTTATTGTTCCACTATCAAATGCGACAGAGTAAAGAATTTTTTCACACCAAAATTTAATTAAAACAAAGCTTCGAAATAAGCTTTGTACAGAAAGTTTAAATAAGCATTTAATGATTTTAATCAATGGTCCTGATATTGAAGATTTTGATTTTGAGAAAGCATATGATCATTGGATCAATTTAAAAGCAAGACGGATAGGAAATTTTGTAGATACTTAAAATTTTATTTTTTTTTATAAATTTTATTTTTGGAGAATAAGCTATATAAATTTTTATTCATAATTAATATTTTTATAATAAATATATTTTTTTTGCATACATACTATAATTTTGTTTTTTGTTTTGTGGAAATATATCTGGGCGCTCATTGAGCAACCTACGTAGTTTTCTAGTACTGTGTAAAAAATTTTTAATTTTTTTTTTAACTATCATCCTGATAGGTTATAGAATCCTATACGAATGACCATCGTCTTGACAAGCCATGTCTATAAACCAAACTTATTAGCCTCTAACCCATATGGCTATTATTCTAACAGATTGATGTAACCAGAATGAATGTCGGGTTCACAGAAGCAAAGTTATTTCTTCTGCATACATAATCGATTACTAATATATCTATACACTAAATTAATTACTTCATACTTACTCAACTAATTACTTAGACTTTCTCATTACCTCATTTCATATCACTGATTTGATCAATCAATCGATCATCAGACCGAACGAAGGACCATAAATTATGGTCCATAATTGGGCATGTTTCTTCATTAGATTCTTCATTAAATTCGACGGATGCTTCTTCAATGGGTGCAGGTGCTGTTTCGTTAAATTGCTTGTTTTTTTTTTACATTTTTTAAGGTGTGCATTCTTTAAGTGAAATCGGCGTTTATATGATTCCATGTTTAATAACCAAGAATTTTAAGGCGAAAGTTTGAGAAGATCAATATAAATTCTAAATAACAAAACTATAGAGTGAATTTTACATTTTTTCTAAAAAAAAAAAACCTTACCAGTTACTTTAAAGTTGACACGGCCAACCAAACGAAACAACCTGATTAAAATAGGTGAAAAAACATATATTCTTATAAGTAATGTTCAAAATGGCTCTATAACTTTATAGCCATAGTGCGCAAGAATCAACTTACATTAAATCATCATTGACAGAAAGAAAAAAAATGCAACTTGTGCATCTAAAAAAGCAAGACCCAATTTTAATCCATTACTGTAAAATCGTATTAAATGACTACATATAGTTTTGATCTACATAGTATAATCGCCAACCCAATATCACATGCTTGGTCTTGTGATGATTTGAGACAAAAAACGAGCAGTTTTATATGTACAGCTTATAAAAATTTTTTTGCGCATATTTTCTAAATTTGTTTAGGCGGAAAGTGCGTGTATGATTTTAAAGTTTGCATATATATTATTTATTTATAATATGCGCTTGCGCGAATAAAAATTTTTTGAATTTATAACACTGTTCACATATCAATATAATCAGCATTGATCTTAGAAGAAACATAATCTTCATCGAATATAGTTTCTAATATGGCTTGAGTCCAAACTGCAGTATAGTTCCAAAATCTAGAAAACATAGTACTCAAAGATAAGTCCTTCTGAAAATTAAAAGACTCTTTGCACATGCAAGTACATTAAATACTAAACACATAAAACCCAAAAAAAGCAATATATCACACAAGAAATCAAAAAAAGAATGGTTAATCAGAAATAAAGGTGAAGCAAGACCAGGTTTTTTTGGCAAAATAGAAAAGCAACTTCTAAGTAAAAAAGTTTAAGTAACTGAATAAGATGAGAAAAACAAAGAAAATAATTATAATAATAAGCTAAACTCAAAAATAGTCTTCATCACCAACACCATAAAAGTCAAAGTAAGTGAAATCGAAGATATAAATACCTGAATTAAGAAAAAAAGTAAAGGAGGCTGGGCAGCATCAATCAAGCTAGAATATCTAGAGACTTGGTAGCCCCAAAAGAGAAAACTCTAATTCAAGAAGAAACAGAACTTTAGCAGCTAAGTTATACTAAAAACTGGGAAGAGTATCTAATCAAGAATACAATAATAAATAGTAGCAAACAACAGGAACTAGTAAGTGCAGTTAGAAAAAATTAAAAACTTAGAGAATTAATATTTTATACTGATGGCTCACTTGGAGGAGAGGGGATCATAGAGCTAGATATAGAGTAATTCAAATAAATAATAAGGGTAATATAATTAGAGAGCTAAAGGGCAGAATCCAGGGGTAGTTTTTCTCAACTAGGTCAGAACCAGCAGCTATGCTTAAAGCAATCTTAGTCTCTCTAAACAACAGTAAAATAAGCATTTATACAAATAGCCAAGTAGCCATTCAAGCAATAGAGAGACTTCAGAAAACCAAAAACACAAGATCTTAGTGTAAAACTAAAAATGTATAATTCTTAGAGCAATAACTAAAAACCTCATAACTAAAAACATTGAGATACACCTTATCAAAATAAAAGCACATGCTGGGAATGTTTTGAATGACCTCGCAGACAGAGCAGCAAAGAAAGGTGCACAGGAACCAAAAGCAATAATCTTCAATACAAATAAGACCCAGGGTATTACTTTCAGTTCAATATAAAAAAACCAAGTAGTAGAAACTTCAATTTGTGGCTTTTTTAAAAAGATAACCCATATATTCCACAAAATAGACTGGCTATTCTTCCAAAATCCAAAGGATAAAATTTACCAAAAAAGAGTAACAAACCAGGACTGGAAAATCTTCTGAAAGTTGTGAGAAAAGGAAAGAAGAGAAAAAAAAAAATCGTTTAAAACCAACAAAAAATAGAGCTTTTGACTTAAAAGCCTAAGCAGACTACTTCTCACACTCTAACTTCAAAAAAAAATTAAGAAGATCTCTACCCTTCAGCAATTTGCAGAAAGTGCTTACGAGAAGAAGAAAACTTTGACCACCTAACAGCATGTGAAGTAGACAAAGCAAGGTGGCTAAAAGAAGAGTACACAATCATCAAAGAAATTTGAAAGAACTTGAACCCCCAAATTAAAAAAAAGATCTCATATATAACCCTTCAACAAATTCTGGTAAAACAGGAAAAAAAGAACCAGATCCAAAGAAGAAAAGAAATGGCAAGAAGACTTATTAAAGTGGATCTAGCACCCATGCTAAAAGCCAAGTCAATCTCAAAGAAAATATTAGAAACTATAATACTTGAGTGATAAGACAAGTAGCACTCTTTCTTTCAAGAGGAAATATAGATACAGTGTTGTAACAGAGTATCAATCTGGAAAAAAGAACTCTAAATCGACCAAAAAGCAAAAAAAAAAAAAAAGCAAAAACACTCAGGAGAAGCCCAACTCAAAAGAAAAAGAAGAGCTATAGAACTGCCCAATAGCAAAAAAAAAACCAGAAAATATTGGAAGAAAAAACAATAATAATAGTAATAATTGTAATAGTAATAATAGAGAAAAATAGTAGAATGATTTTAGAGAAAGACTAGATATAGTAGTAGAAGAAGTTAACAAGTAAGTAGAGACTAGTAAATAGTCCTGATGAAATAATAACTAAGAAAAGATCATGATAAGCTGTAGATCCAGGCCAATGAACTATAGATCTCTTATTTGAGGTAGATAAGAGAGAAGTAGGGAGGTTAATTCTACTTTGGCAGGTTGCACATAGGTACCAACTAGGTGAGCCACACTTTAGTTTAAATAGCATAGCTATAAATAGAACCTACATTTTGCTTAAATATTAAATCTATAATAAAAAGTAAAGTTGTGACCTTAACAAAAAGAACTGATAACTAACTGATAACTAGATTAGCCGGATTAGTGATTACACTATCGTATTACGATTAATGAACGAATTACAAATCAATCATGTTTGATAATATATTTGACAGTCAATAAGTCATAATTACAGCATACTGATCCATATATATATATGTACGTGATCACTAGATTATCCTGTGTGTATCCAGGGTAAAAATCATGTAATTTTTGGCACTCCTTACCTATCCACTAACATCCGTTCGGTGATGTTCAGAGTCTAACAGTTATTATATTTAACAATGACGTGTTTTTTTTTTTACTGACATAGTTTTATCTTTTTTATTAGAGCTTCGAGATGTCTTTCTCCAGAGGTTTCGTCTTTCGCTGGAGATTTCGCCTTTCGCTGGGGGTTTCGCCTTTCGCCAGGGGTTTTGCCTCTCACCGAGGGCTTCGCCTTTCGCCAGGGGTTTCGCCTTTCGCCGGGGGGTTTCGTCTTTTGCCTTCTACCGGCTTTAGGTTTCGTCTTTCTCCATTTACGAAAATTATTTCAGCTAAAAACTACAATTCGAAATGTAAGCCTTCCCATACCACTTTTTTCCATTAATGAAATTTTTACGATTCATTATGTAATTATAATGCATAGGACAAGATATCAAAACCATTTGTAATTGAATTTAATTGACGCAATAAAGATAGTTGTATATTTATAAAATGGATCAAATAGTTCAAATCTATATACCAAAGTGAAAAAAAAGAAACTATCACTTTTGGTTCACATATATTTCAATGTTACAATTACATTACAGCATATCCGAATCATATTGTGATCAATATGCCTTCTTTGTCCCCTACAATGACCTCGGGGAATGTTGGTACTTGGCGGAAGCAGGTTGGAGATTCCATTTCACCCGGTGATGTATTGGTCGAAATCGAAACCGATAAAGCTCAGATTGATTTTGAATGCCACGAAGAAGGATATCTCGCTAAAATCCTTGTTGAGTCTGGTGAAAAAAATGTTGACGTCGGAAAGGCATGTATCATGCTAAGTAGAGAATAAAAAAATCCTTTTGAATGTTAAATTCTAAACTCAATCCAATCCTTTTTGAAAATCATCAGCCCATTGCTATTCTTGCTGAAGATAATAATGATGTTAAGAAATTTGAGGACTATGTTCCTGAACAAAGTTCAGCACCTCCCAAAGCAGAGTCTGCTGAAAAAGATGAAAAAACTCCAAAACAAGATGTACAGCAAGAAGAGCCACAAAAACAACAAGAACCCAAGAAAAGCCATGTATCGGGTGATAGAATCCTCGCGAGTCCTGTAGCACGTAAATTAGCAGCTGAGCGCGGGATTTCTCTTGATCAAGTTGCTGGTACGGGCCCAAAAAATCGTATTATTAAAGCTGACATTTTAAATTTTGTTGCCCCTGCAACAGAACAACCGACCCCATCACAACATGCCGAACCTTCTTCGTCTTATACTGATATTCCACTAACTAATATGCGCAAGATAATCGCCTCACGATTAAGTGAATCCAAACAATCTATACCACACTATTACTTGACTATTGAGGTGGAGGTAGATAAGCTTTTGGAGCTTCGTGAAGTTCTTAACAAGGACAGCGATGGAAAATATAAAATTTCAGTCAATGATTTTGTGATTAAATCCTCAGCGTCTGCACTTATGGCTATGCCTGAAGTAAACAGCAGTTGGCACAACGATTTCGTTCGACAGTAAGTTAATGAAACCAAATTAAGTTTTTTTTTTAAAAAATTAAAGATTTGTAATTCATCGCACAATGCGATGCATTGCTACTCCTGATCGACAAGTGAGGGTGCAGGGTCACGTGTAACGTGAAAATCGAAGACTTAAAAAAATCATTTCTAACCCAGAAATTCCTTGCGGAACTTTGGTTAAATAATCTTTAGCTATTGTTTTACCCTAACTTTATCTTTATTCGATTCTTAATATGGTTGCTGTTTATTTTTTTTTCGATTTAATTAAAGTGTAGCAATGCATCCACTGACGATGAATGATACTTTTTCTTAAAATTATTATTATTCTCTAGCGATAATAAATATGTTAATTTTTAAGGTATAATTATGCTGATATCTCGGTTGCAACAGCAACTCCTACTGGGTTGCTTACACCTATTATAAGAAACGCACACACAAAGGGATTAGAAACTATATCTAATCAAGCAAAGGAATTGGCAGTTCGTGCAAGAGAAGGCAAACTATCACCTCATGAATTTCAGGTTTGATTTTTAAGATTTTATTCTTTAGCTTTACATATTATTATACTTATTGAAATTTTATTTTAGGGAGGAACTTTTACAATATCAAATCTTGGGATGTTCGGAATTAAAAATTTCACGGCTATAATTAACCCTCCACATTCTTGTATTCTTGCTGTGGGTACAACGCAAAAGAAACTCGTACCTGATTCTAGCAAGGAAACCGGATACCGAATTGCAACTACCATGCATGTGACACTTTCATGTGACCACAGAGTTGTTGATGGTGCTCTGGGCGCGCAATGGCTTAGAGTATGGAGAACATACATTGAAAATCCATTAAAACTGCTTTTATAAACGAAATTGTATTTTAAATTTGTTTTTTGAATAAATTGTTTTAAGAATTATGCAATTGGCATTTTTTATTAAAAAGATCATTGACTTACACAGGACAGTGATCATTTGGTGACACAATCAGAGGTCATATCTCTCCACCTTCGTTATAAAAAAAAAACTTTGCCAAAAAAAATTTGATGAAACCTGTAGCCCGTGGCGAAAAGCTTTTTCTATTAAAGATACTTACATCGAGACATTTTACTGAGTTATTAAGGAATATTTGATTTAATTAACCCTTAATTTTACCATTTTAGACTATCGATCTATATTATTTTTTTCTGTTGCCTGTATAAATAGCTCGTGTAATCGTAATGGTTTTTTCGGAATGAATCGGATGGGAATGCCTCCAATATTGGTTTTTTTTTTTTTTTAAATAAATTTTTTTTTTGTCATTGAAAAAAAAACTTTATCTTGTCTTCTCAACCTCGTTTTCCTAATCTGTCTTTTATCAACGCCGTTTTTTATCTTGTTAAACGAAAGCTTTTAAAGCCGATATTCTACAGTAAATAATTAATTGAAAATGTCCGATACTGAGAATGTTCCAACAGAGGAACCTACGGAAGTTATGGAGGATCACGAAGAGACAGAGCATGAAAATGGCACAACGTGTTTTTATACAAATGACGACGAAATACGAACGGTCTTCTCTGATCCAGTTAACTTCAATGTGAAACACCCACTATTTAATAGCTGGACGTTATGGTTTGACAATCCAGGAAAAAAAGCAAATACGGCAAGTTGGTCTCAGAACTTAAAAGAGCTGATCACTTTCGATTCCGTTGAGGAATTTTGGGGGTGAGTCAAATTTAGCTACCTTTTAGCTTACTTTATTATTTTATTGACATATATATATCATATTCAGAGTGTACAATAATGTTGTCAAAGCTAGCGAATTATCTGCTGGTTCCAATTATCATCTTTTCAAAAAAGGAATAAAACCGATGTGGGAGGATTCAGCAAATGAACAGGGTGGTAAATGGGTTATTCAATTTCCTCGGAATAAAACCGGTGACGATATCAACGACCTCTGGCTTTTTACGGTAAGTACAGCATCATTTTTTATTAAGACCGACAAAAAGATGTTCCAAATATTAGCAACATCTTTCATTCAATACTTTTCTGCAATTGTTATGTAGCCGGTCCCATTCATTTGATAAAAAAAAAAAAAATTTCGTACGAAACTCTGATAAAGAAGTACTTAACATCGCGTTATTATATTGAATAGATGCTCGCATGTATAGGAGAGTCCTTCGATCATGCAGATGAGGTGTGTGGCGCGGTAGTTTCTGTCCGAAAAATTTTTTACAGAATTTCTCTTTGGACGCGTACGTCAAATAAAGAAATCTGCGAACCTCTAGGGTATGTGTATATTCATGACTTTAATGTATGGATTACGACATTCTTTTCTTAACCTCTTCATCTCTTTACACTTACATCGATCGGTTAGACGTCAAATGAAACTAACTTTAAGTTTAAATCCAAACCAACAACTTGAATTTCAACCACATTCTGAGTCTATTAAGAGTGGTAGTCATAACAAAGACCGTCTTGTTGTATAAACGTTAGTGCAAAGTAGAATTATAAATGGACGTTTTAAGGTTTATATATTCAATCAATTTACTAGATTATTATTATGTTTTGCTTTGTCGGTCGGAAAATGAGTTGTTTATCAGCTTGTTGCTGCTATTTGTTAAGATTTTATAATGGTCAGAGACTGGTAAAAACTTTTCGATTTTAAATGTGAACTTCTCTTAACAAGTTATAAAAATTCTGCAATGAAAGCTCTGTCACAAGTAGGTAATATTTTCATTATACTAGCAATTATCATAGTGAATATATTGGATAATTAAATTAGTGTTGTATTATGGCAATGACTTTGAAGTGCTTCTAAAGGTGACTCAAAAAGTCTGATCACATGACATTTGGCGGGGACTAAGAATTATAATAAAGTGTGCTAGCTTGTGTATTATATTTAAAATATTGTTACTGTTATGGTATCGAATCTTTTTTTTTTTTTGCTAAGAGTAAATTTTGAACATGGTAAAGGTATAAAGCAAATGTTTATTAAAAACTTTTGTGATATAATATCAAAAATATATATTGTATACCAATTATTATAAAATGCACCTATGGTGTTTAGCACCATATATAATTGTTTTAATAAAATTTAGGGTTAGGGTGCATTTTTATGAATTTTTTTTTATATATTATAATATATATTAGATATAAGGTCCTAATTTTAGTTTTTATGAGGTTTTGGGGTGCTGAACATTTTTACTTAGAATACCCAATTCTATTTACTTAGTACGTTTTTGAGAAATAGAGATCTATGGTGTTGAACACCATAGGTGCATTTTAGTAAACTTGTTATATACAGTATTCTACAGTATATAGTAATATATGTATTTACATATACATACGGTGACTTTTATTAAAGTAATATTACTATCTATATACAGTATTGGTAGTTGATTATATTTTTTAGTAATACATTTTTGGTTAGAAGAGTAACAAAAATTAAGTGATTTTTTAGAAAAGAGAGAGGGGTAAAAAAAGTTAAAATTATATATAAAGATTTGATTAAATATATAATAAAAAAGAAGAAAAAATATGCTTTTAATAAAAAAAAATTAGATAATAAATAATACTACTTTTAGTAAAAGTATATCAAGCTATATATGCATTTTGGTATCTAATTTAAATAGTTTGTATTTAAGTTATTTTATTTAAAGTTTTACACTATTTGCTATACTTGTATCTTAACTACAGAAATTATCTTAAACTCTCTAATATTTCTCTACTTCTAACAAAATTAATATATAAACTTTATGTTACAATTTTATAGAAATAACTTGGATTAATATTTGTTTTCTATACTGTATACTTATTAGACAACTCAAATTTATCTCTTAAATTGTAACACAGACAAATTTGCCTGTGTTTTTATTAAAAAGTTTAATTTTTTTGATAAAAACCTATATATTAATTTTAGCTATATATTTTCTAAGTAAAATATTTAATTTTAGATTTGTTTTATTAACTTT